ATTCATTTATATTGTTATCCCATTATTACCTGAAGAATTTTTATATTTTATTTACCGTACTCTTTTCCTAGCTTTTCATACTTGTTTAGAGGTTCTGACTCAGTTTCATTATAAGTTCTGCTTTCAGTTAGGCTTACTTCAATTCCATTAAAGTCCTCGATAGTGATCGTTTGGAGTGGTATGGATCTTTTGGCTTTGTTTTATTGAGTGTCGAGAGTTTGGTTTATACATATGATCAGTCTGTCTCTGAGAGTGCTATTCGTCTTGACGTAAGCGTTCTTCACGTCTAGGTCTTAAGTCTTGTATGAGTTCCTTTTTATCTTCCCAATTTTATTGGTAACTTCACTTTTTTTCTGGACGTAGTAACGTTTATTTTGATCGGAACAACATATGTAAGCGAACAATATTGTTTTCAGTGAGATCCTCATCAGGCTTTACTCCATTATACAGTAATATTTATATGCATATGCAAATTAATAAACCAACTAAGACAGCATATGAGTCAACGATAAAAGTGGAATAGATTACATAACTAAACATAATAAGTAAAAAGTTTAATAATTTCATATAATCATATAAATATAACTGTATATTATATTAGAGCCTGGTGACAATCTGTTTGAAAACAATATTTTTTGCTTATATGCGTTGTTCTAATTCATAATATTGGAATTTTTAAAGTTACTACTGCAGAACCTCTCGGTTTACAAAGCCAAATGCTGCTTTCAACTAAAAAACTGATTATCGGACGCATGTATGCTAAGATCTGACGAATGGTGATTATGTGGTAGATGCGGCCACGATCAGGTCTGAAGCCAGCCAGTTCACGAGTCTTTGTAAGGCGTCCGATAATTATTGAGGCTAGTATTTTAGATGCCTTATTACTCAAACTAATCCCGCTATTATTATTTATTTGAACCCATATTGGTACAGGGGGGCACCAAATATATATGCGCCACACAAAACAATGAGAATTTAAGAAGGGAAAAAAAGTAGGGAACGAAGGGGATTATAAAATAAAAAAGGTACACTCAGAAGAAATCTTACATTTAAGGAGGATACAGCCGCTTTTTATGAAGAAAGTAAAAGAAGGTTACAGCAGGATCGCCACTGGCTTCTATTCTGAGCCATATCTGATAACGTCTCTAGCCACTGTGTTACACCATCTCTCGGACCCCAGCCAGGTAGTCGTGAAGGACCAACAGAAGCCAGCCCTTTGCAGCTTTCTTTCATACCACAACACCATGACATACACTGAACACCTCTCCACTTTTTCCAACCAGTCCCAGAGTCGGCACATAGTGCACGACGTGGAATTCTCTGGGACGACATTCGTAGAACATGTCCAAGCCACCGGAGCCGGTGTTTCAAGATGGTGACACCAATTGAATTATCGTCTCTGTGCCCGAACACACGATGCCGAAACTCTGCATTACTAACATGGTGTTGCCACTGAATGTTGGCAATCCTTCGGAGACAGCGATGATCGAACACAGAAAGATGTCTAACATCCTCAACTCGGAGAGGCCAGGTTTCGCAAGCATAGAGCAAAACTGCTCTCACCGACGCGTTGTAGATCCGACCTTTTACAGCCAGACTAACATCACGAAGGCGCCAAAGATGGCCCAGATTGGCATAAGCCGCTCTGGCTTTCACTATACGTGCATTGATCTCATCACTCACACCACCACCAGCACTTATGCAGCTACCTAGATACACGAACTTCTCGACTACTTCAATCTGCTCACCATCCAGAGTGAGTAAAGGATTAGAATCCTGCCAGTTTCGTAGAAGTACTTTGCACTTCGAAGGTGCGAAGCACATACCATACCTACGGACACTGATTGCCAACTGATTAAGTGCGGATTGCATGGCTTGGGCATTCTCGCACAGTAAGACAATATCATCCGCATACTCAAGGTCGAGAAGTCTTTCTCCAGGCAACAGATCCACACCACCATTACTTACATCCGTCAGAGCTGTTTCCAGAATGTCATCGATGGCAAAGTTGAAGAGGAATGGTGAGATTGGGCAACCCGGCCTAACCCCACTGCTCGAATGGAGTAGTGGAGAAAGGTGATTGTATGCCCTCACTCTGCCTGAGGTGTTTGTATATAGGGCTTTTAGGATGTTAATAAACTTCTCAGGCACACCCTTCTTCAATAGACAATCCCAGAGAACAGTCCTGTCCAGCGAATCGAAGGCTGCCCTGATGTCAAGAAACACTACGATTGTTGGCCTTTGATAAGTATGGCTTCAGTTCGAGTCAGGAGATCTATCTCAATGTTCCATTCGGGCTGTTTGGATATAGTGGCTAGCTTAAGACCAGTTGAACTGCTCTCTAAAGTGTTTCGCTCATCGTTCTAAACGTCTGGGCTGAGAGCAGATGAGGGTATCGTTTCTTTCTGAGATCGTCTCACTTAAATTTCACTTTTTAATTCCAGTATCTTTTACTAGTCTGAAAAGCTGTCTGGCGTTACCTAAAACTTCTGCCTTTTCCGTCTTTTTCTTTCGTTACCCACTAATTTTTATTTATTTTAACACATGGGTATTGGTACAAGGAGGCACCAAATATATATGCGCCACACTTTTGTGTGTAGGCTGAGATACTGCCCGGGTGCCCAAACCGAAGCAGGTGGTTTTCTCAGGGGGCCACACCCCGAGCCTTCGACCTAAAGGTCTAACCCACAAGGCAGTGGAGCATCGTGAGGAGATGCAGTCCCATGGAAGCCGGTGACCAAGAAATTGGTTCATACGCCATTTGTTCCCGCAGGATACTGTAGCCCAAGTGCACCATTGATTTGGGGTCCGGTTAAAGTGCCGGACATTCGCTTTTCGTCCTCTCATTTTCGTAAACAACAGTAATGGCACGAGAAGGCAGTGAGTAGGACTTCCCTGGCAGAGGCTATATACGTGTGGCCATGTGAGAGCATTTCGAGAGGGAGAGCGGACTCTCCCCACTCTCGGCCGTACCAGGGCATTTGGGGGCCCTTCCTTAGACTTTGGTTAACCAAGATTTGACTTCTTTACGCTCTTCATCCTGTTCAGAGCCTGAGAGTAAGTTTACGAGAATCTATCAGTGCAATAGACTGAGTAGAAATCCATTGGTTTTTCGTAACCCTTTGGTTTAAATCACTAATAAATGTCACTGCTGTTTCCACAGATGTTTGTATATCTTTCCAAGAAACATATGAGTCAGCCTCGTCTTCAGAACTGTCTAATTGTGACCTCAATTGTTCCTGGAATCTGCTTTTAGCTTCCTTGTCTTTGAGTTAAAGTCTAGTGAGTCTTCTTAATGTGGTATTCGTGCGTCCAGAGAAGCGCAAGCAAATGCGTGCTCTCTATGTTAGACAGGATGAAAGACGCAGTTGACGCTCAACTTCGAGATCAACAAGCTGGATTCCGTAAGGACCGGTCGTGCACAGACCAGAATGCGACACTACGGATCATCGTCGAACAATCAATTGAGTGGAACTCGTCACTCTACATCAACTTCATTGATTATGAGAAGGCATTTGACAGTGTAGATAGGAGGACGTTATGGAAACTTCCTCGACACCACGGAGTTCCTGAAAAAATTGCCAACATTATCCGGAACTCATACAACGGACTACAGTGCAAAGTAGTGCATGGAGGACAGCTGACAGATGCATTCCAAGTGAGGACCGGAGTCAGACAAGACTGTCTACTCTCTCCCTTCCTGTTTCTTCTGGTGGTCGACTGGATTATGAAGACCTCGATATTTGAGGGAAAACACGGCATACAATGGACAGCTCAGAACCAAGTAGGCGATTCGGACTTCGCAGATGACCTAGCCCTCCTATCCGATACACACGAACAAATGCAGATAAAGACAACCAGCATAGCAGCAGTCTCTCATCAGTAGGCTTCAACATACACAAAGGGAAAACCAAGGTCCTCAAATACAACACGGAGAACAGCAATCCAATCACTCTTGATGGCGAAACTCTGGAAGATGTAGAATCCTTCACATACGTGGGAAGCATCGTCGATAAACAAGGAGGTTCAGATGCAGACGTCAAGGCGAGGATTGGCGAAGCTAGAGCGGCATTCCTTCAACTGAAGAACATATGGAACTCAAAACAACTGTCAACCAATATCAAAGTCAGAATATTCAATACCAACGTCAAGGCAGTTCTACTGTACGGAGGTGAAACTTGGAGAACTACAACAACCACCATCAAGAAGGTACACGTATTTATCAATAGCTGTCTACGCATGATACTCAACATCCATTGGCCGGATACCATCAGCAACAGCCTTTTGTGGGAGAGAACCAACCAGCTTCCAGCGGAAGAGGAAATTAGGAAAAGACGATGGAAATGGATAGGACATACATTGAGGAAATCATCAAACTGCATTACGAGACAAGCGCTAACTTGGAATCCTGAAGGGAAGCGGAAAAGAGGAAGGCCAAAGAACACATTACGTCGGGAAATAGAAACGGATATGAAAGGGATGAATAAGAACTGGAAAGGGCTTGAAAGGATTGCCCAGGACAGGGTTGGATGGAGAATGCTGGTGAGCGGCCTATGCTCCTTCACGAGGAGTAACAGGCGTAAGTAAGTAAGTATGTTAGACAATCTCTCTTCTAGCCTCGATAGTTATCGGACGCCTAACTAAGACTCGTGAACTGTAAATACGAGAGAATCAAGCTGGCTTCAGACCTGGTCGTGGCTGCATCCAACACATATTCACCATTCGTCAGGTTCTAAAACACAGGCATACTTATCGGCATCCGACCATGGTGGTCTTCCTTGACTTAAAAGCAGCATTTGACTCTGTGGACCGAGAGGTTCTGTGGCAGTGTCTGTCATTGAAAGGCGTACCTCAGAAGTACATAAACCTTGTGAAGGCTCTTTACTCGAACATTACTAGTCGAGTCAGAGCATATGGCGAACTGTCATCTGCTTTTGCAACCTCAAGTTGTGTCCGTCAAGACTGTCCACTTTCTCCATTTTTGTTTAACTTTATCACAGACCTACTGATGGAAATAACGCTCTTATAGACTGAATTCTCGGGTATTGATCTCGTACCAGGAGGCCTTCGCCAACTTACGTCATCTATGGTGAATGCGAGACATCCGTCCATCAATAAAAGGACAAGTATACTGCGCGGCAGTTCATTCCGTTCTAAGAGTAGAAGATACTCGTAAGTTACTAGTATTTGACCACAGATGCCCTAGAAATATTACTGGTATCAGCTGGGATCACCAGGTAAGTAATAGTGAGGTTTAGACACAGGGTACTAAGGAATGATAGTAAATCAGTTGATGAGATTATGAATCTTTATTAACTGAGATGGTTGGGCCACGTGTTGCGTATGCCTCAACACCGATTACCACGATGCGCAATGCTAACCGGTGTTAGGGATAATTGGAAGAAAGTTATGGGCGGCCAAATCAAAACGTGGCATCAGTGCTTGAACGTTTCAGTTGAGGCGCAGTAGCCCACTAGGCTGACTATATTCCCATTGTTTGTATCATTGACTTCAACTGTAGCAATTCTACCGTCAATCTCCGTGAAGTTCGTTACGTTTATACCATCTTGTTTGCCGATTAAAAATCCAACTTTTGTGGTTTAGTTATCTGACCTCAAAATCGCTGTTGCAAAATATCTCTTCGTTACTTATTTCCAATATCTTAGATGTTGTTTTCGTTCCTTTCAGTAACGATATGTGAAATTTCTTTTCAGTTAGTTAGCTCACTACTTGATATATCTTGCAGTCTTCGACACATCCCCGGACATTTCATAAGCCAAATTTGGATTTTTTGGGCACTTCATCTTTTTTATCGTTTCGTAGGTCGACAAGGTTTGCACACGGCGTTAGATGTAAGTGGCTTCTCCTCCTCATCGGTTTGGTTACCATCTCCAGCCTTAGTAGTTATGTTGAGTTTCTTTAAGTGCTTCCTAATCAGTGGTTTGAGTAGCATAGAGATTAACCCGATGTCCTCAAAAGCCGCCCACGCTAGTTTTGGGGACTGAGTTCCGCTACACAGGAGATACTACAGGAAACTGCACGTTTTTTTACCCCAGGGCAATTTTTACGCTCCATCCTATGTATTAGGGTAAAAGATCTTAATGCATCCAAATAAGATTATACAAAGGTATGCTGGACTGTTTTTTATCAGTGTTATAAAAATCTTACACTAACATTAGATTGCTAATAAAAGTGTATTGATTTTTTCGAATATTGATTTATTCATCATTGAGTTTTTTTATTGAGCTGAATACTGAAAACTTGTTAGCACATTCAGTTAAGAACAAGAATTTAATGCTCCACAGGAATAATTCATTTTATTGTAACTTATGATTTTGGTTTTTTTTAAAAATTTTTGAGACCTATTTTGATCATAGTAATCAGGATATTTTTATTGTTTTACCGGAGCAGTAAACCCTTTAAGATGTTTACCAAAATGAGAGGACGAAAAGCGAATGTCCGGCACTTTAACCGGACCCCAAATCAATGGTGCACTTGGGCTCCAGTATCCTGCGGGAACAAATGGCGTATGAACCAATTTCTTGGTCACCGGCTTCCATGGGACTGCATCTCCTCACGATGCTCCACTGCCTTGTGGGTTAGACCTTTAGGTCGAAGGCTCGGGGTGTGGCCCCCTGAGAAAACCACCTGCTTCGGTTTGGGCACCCGGGCAGTATCTCAGCCTACACACAAAAGTGTGGCGCATATATATTTGGTGCCTCCTTGTACCAATATTTATGTGCTTAAATAAATAATAAATTTCTTAACGATCCAAATAATTTTTGTTGCTTGATATCTTTTGTAGATTACTGGTGATCGTCTCGTCTATCGCTCCGACGACAAACCTGAAGCTTTGAAAAAGCGCTTGTATGAGTATGAGAAAAATGCAGCACCTATTTTACATTTCTATGAGTCTCAAAATAAACTACTTCGAATAAACGCAAACAAAGATGTTAATCAGGTGTTCAGTGATATTCAAGAACTTATTCGTGCGAAATTAGCAGAAGGACGATAGGTGTATAAAATGTTCTTAGCGATCTTATTTTAGTGTTTAAATTAAAAGACTACTTCGAACAATATCTACCACTATACTTTCCTGGGTTTTTATTGATGGATAGTTTCCCTATAAACAATAACCAAATTATGTGTAGCTTTGTTTTCCCGAGATTAATTTTGTGTATTGCATAATAAAAACCTCCAATTATCATATACCGTATTTTCAATCAAATTTTCGGGTTTTCGTTCGCTTCAATCATTCACATTATTAGTTCAAAAAAGAATTAAACGTTCGGCTTTCTCAGAACGTTACGTTTGTAATTACTTTACTCATTTCTTGAGGTGTATGGTAGTTCCTAGTAATTCTAAGTATAGTTCTCCATATTGCATAAAATAATTCTTTATTGCCATTATGTTTGTAGTTACTGATTTTGAAAGTATCATCAGCCTTGGTGTGTGGTGAAATTTTGTTGTAAATTCAAAAACCACTTTTAGCTTTTGTTTACTTACATCGCGTGGGGTAAGAAGCAGTCCATTCTGTATTACTATATGAATGTGAAAATGGAAGGAATAAATAGAATACTGGTCTTTGATTATAGGTGTCTGCGAAACATTATTCCAGTATAATGGAAAAAACGCCTAGAGTACTAGGAAAGTATGACAAGTGGGACGGTGAAGCTGTTAATCTTTATCGGCTGAAGTGGGACGTCTTGTACGTGTGCCTGACCACCACATTTCCTAGTGCGAGGTACAGCCAAAGTAATACGTGACATCTGCCCTTGAACTATTGGTTTGAACCATATTGATAGATGCAGATTACCCAATTGGAACCCACGCAATCAGTGGTTGGAGACCTTATGTGACACGGCTCAGAGTCACAGATGTATTCACTTTCTATCTTTCCCTAAGTGGTGAGATTTAATATCATTTCGTACTTTTTGTTTCTCTAGAGTTCCTATTAATCGTGTACTGATATAGTATGGAAACTTTAATTGAAACATTTGTGGCAAGGCCCTGTGTTGATTATATCCTACTCGGTTATAATTTATTTGTATTGGTTATTTGAGTCTTCCCGTTCATATTCAGGATTGAAATTGATCAGTCTCTTTTTGGTATATGTGCATCCTTTGCGGATTGCCTCAATATTCCCATCAAGTCACAAGCGCTGATTTTCCCATTTTTAACCAATCAGCGTTAGTGGATGGGCTGAAAAGACTCGAGAATTCTTGTGTTAAGTTTATTTACACACTGACGTTTGCTTACTTCACTGAACTTGCTGTTTTGCTTTAGAACAAGTTTATGCTCTGTCCAGGTTGTGTTTTGATTTGGGGACCAGTCAAGTGGAGTTTCCGAGAATATTAGGCCGAAAGAGGAGGCCTAACAGTTATCTAAGTATAAAATGTCGGTATTAAGAAATGTGAGAGCTGGCGGTATGCGATTTGAAATGACAATATATGTAGCAAAAATTTTTTGACTAAATTATACAGTGTAAACACCTAGTCATGGGATTTAAATACGTTTCTTACGATATTTTGTGTCAGTGACAATCATTCAGTTTAAGTATTCTAATTTTTTATTGGAATATAATCTACGAAATTTATTCCTATTGATTACACGGGATCGACATCAAATAGCTTCATCTGCAAAAACTAGTGTTCTCATTCTAATTGCCGGGGAAAGGAAGAAAGATAAAATAGTTTCGCTCACTGTATTTAAGTCAGGTTAGAGTGAAATTACTAGCAAGGTGCACGAACTTATAAGTGAGTTACCCTAAGTAAGGCTACTACTTTGATTGGTGGCTTGTTTATTGTGACCACCCAGTCGAGGTACAGTGGTTGGGATCTTAGTTCCTTAGTGTTCTACCATACTAGGCTGTGGATAGCAATAAGGCTTTAAACAAAAAAAATCTGAGGGTGAAAGTACTACCGACTGTTCTTTGATGTAATAGGAGTAAAGTGTCCCATGGGATCCTGCCTTATCACAACAAAACGAAGGGTTTTATTGAAAAATAGCGCACCTTGTCTCACGGACTTTCATCACTAACGATAAGGCCTAAGAAACGTACAGATCTAACTCAGTCAGAACTATTAACAAGATGGTCTTGTGCGACAGGTCTCAAGTAGTCCCTTTGGCCTAGTGTTAACACTCAATGGCCATCAAGACTATCAATAACCCAGTTCAATTTTCTGATAGCTCACAAAGAAATATCCTTTCACAGTGTGAGAAACTCTTTGTGGCCCTCTGATCTAATTCCAATTCGGTCGAACAAAATGAATATGCCATGTATATAAGCGTTCCATTTTAATTCAGTATATTACTCCTGAGCTAACCCTGTTTGTGAAACGGCGGTAATAAGCTAAATACGTGTTAAGTTGGATGAATTTATTTCAGACTGATATTAAAAATAAGAAATTCAGAGAAGGTAAGTCTGACGATTCTCTTTGATCAAGTGTGACTCAATATTTATAGCCAGAAAAAAATCAGCATAAGATGTGTTGAACAAGGTAAGCGATACACACATACTGTCAGACAAAAACAGTCAAGTTTAATAAGCGAATAATCGACAAGGTCAAAATGCAACTCAAGAAGAATAAATAAATTGATCTCTCCAGAAGCTAGAATAATCCATGTAAACTTGAAGTAGTACTAAACATTACAAACCTTTGACGGAACTCGATTAATCAATACTCTGCACTACCTTCTCTAATGTTAGTTCCAAGCGAAAGTTATAATCTCGACTAATTTAGATGTTTTCTGAACTCAGGCTCAAGAAAACGATTTTATTCTTGAAAAATGTTATATACATACAACAAAATTATGCATCAGAAAATATACCATAATATATGTTTATAGTTAAGGTGTTATATCGAGTCGTTGATAATTGTTATCATTGGTGGTCAACTGTTATGATTGCGTCACCAATTGTTATTTCGGAATCGCTTATCACTTGTACTCGTAAAACGAGGAACCACTGCAATTTCCACGACTCGGAAAATATTTGAATAGCTAAATTACTGTAGATCGATATCCTAAACACTCAAGATCATATCTTCTAGGAATCGGTATATAAGTGATTAAACTACAGTTACTTCTGCCTTTCAAAAATCGTCTTTTGGGCTTGTATTTCCCGTTGTTGATACTTATGTCATATTGTAATTTTTAGCTTGGTTAACGTATATTGTGATGGAGCGAATATTAGGGGAAGTGCAACGTTTGTGTCTAGTTTATAGATTACTTTTTGTATAATTAACAAACAACTGTATAATTGTATTTTAATGTTTTCCTTATTGTAAGCTTCCAGTAAATCTATTAACTACTATTGTATGATTTATCATTCCTCAATTGTTATTTATGTACTGTTTACTACATTCTCTGCCACTTATAGCACATCTGAGGTGCGTTGCGATCCGATAACTCAAGTATATAAACTAATGTGTGTTTGAGATATATGTAATGGGTGCCTAAAATATGTAACGGAAGCTTGGCTGATGTCTTCTCTTATTCAGGGTCAAGGTTGGGAATCAACGGACCAATATGAGTCAACAACATACACAAGGGGAAAACCAAGGTCCTCAAATACAACACTGAGAACAGCAATCCAATCACTCTTGATGGCGAAACGTTGAGAACTACAACAACCACCATCAAGAAGGTACACGTATTTATCAATAGCTGTCTACGCATGATACTCAACATCCATTGGCCGGATACCATCAGCAACAGCCTTTTGTGGGAGAGAACCAACCAGCTTCCAGCGGAAGAGGAAATTAGGAAAAGACGATGGAAATGGATAGGACATACATTGAGGAAATCATCAAACTGCATTACGAGACAAGCGCTAACTTGGAATCCTGAAGGGAAGCGGAAAAGAGGAAGGCCAAAGAACACATTACGTCGGGAAATAGAAACGGATATGAAAGGGATGAATAAGAACTGGAAAGGGCTTGAAAGGATTGCCCAGGACAGGGTTGGATGGAGAATGCTGGTGAGCGGCCAATGCTCCTTCGCAAGGAGTAACAGGAGTAAGTAAAAGTAGTAAGTCTTAAAAATATGAGTCAAGCGGACATTACCCTCAGCCCATAGATAACTGTGTTGGCCGGGACATATCATTAGCCAAAGCTTAAGACGCTAGACGTATACGGAAAAATACAAACGGAGTGATGAAATTATAATCGGAATTTCGATTAGCGATCTAGCAAGTAATATTTACTAACGTCTCAAATATAACAAATGCTATTCTAGTGAACTAATAAGATTTGATTTAGTGACTCTTGGATTTGTGCACAAGATTTAAACTCGGTGGGGGGTAACTTGTATTGTATTAGGAGCTAAGTATAAATTACCTAGATGTTGTTTCTAATACGATTAAAACTGGTTGACGCTTCTGCAGTTCAATCACACATGGAATGTAACATAGCATGTTAGTTAGAATAAAAACATACTCCTGTAGTAATCGTAACTCAAAACTTATTTATTCGTTTAGCTTATCTGATGTGATTCAAAGAGTGGCCAGAGTTGTTTGAGTGACCGAAAAGTATTCTTCACTATAACCTCAACTCTAAATCCTAACCCTACTACAGTTACTAGTTCTTAACCCTAAATTTATCTCACTTATGATGATAAATAGCTGGACATGTATTTTTATTGTTTTTTTTTACTATGAATCGATTTGTAACTAAGGTATTTTTTGTGAGTGGCTGATGAGTAGCCTAAGGTCGTCAGTATAGTATGCTTATATTTTTAATTTCTATCGTATTTAATCCACCGTGCAATTAGTTACCTTCCACTTCATAAAAATGACCTAGACCTCATGAAATTTATTTCAAGCTAGAATGTCCATTATTTTCTGACTGTACGAAACTCTTGCTCTACTTACTGATTTCGCCTATTACTGTCATCGTTGTAATGTCTGGATAATTTTAGATTCAGAGAATTTTCTAGTAGGAAGCACCGATATTGAAGGCTTTTAAATTTCCACCCAATATACACTTATTTTTTAGTATCGTAATTGAAATATTTGGATTCATTAGAATAAATGTCGAATCGGTGTATTCATGTTCTAAACATCAGCGCGTCAATTAATTTTTCTAAGATATTACCAACTGTATATAACCCAGATCTTGTTTGAATTAACTTTTGATTCGCAATAACGTATATCTCATTAATAAATTGGTTTAGGTATTTAATATACTGAATAGGTTGTTGGTAAGT